GTCTCGTCTCTGCCCCTCCTGTACTTTTCTGTTGTAGGTGTGGCTTGACAGGCTCCTCCCTGAGCTCTGCTCCCTCTGCAGGGTGACTGGTCTTGTCTCCGCCTCCTCCTGTAGTTTCCTGGAGGTAGTCTGCAGTGGGTGGGGCCTATGTGTTCAGGCTATGCACCGCCCAGTGATGTCACTCCCGCTTTGACAAGGCAATATATGGGTTTGCAAAGCCATTCGGTGCACACAGAGCGGCTTTGATTGCCACTTCTGTTGTGGCTTCATGACCTGAAAAAATTCTGAGTAGGCCGTCCCTGAAATCCCTCCCGACAGGGTTGCCTTGGAAAAAAAAAGCTTAAAAAAAAATAGCACCCAAAAAAAAAATCGTATCAAATACCAAAATTTTCTTTTCCTGGCGCCAATCCCTGACAGCTACAAGAAAAGCCACCATTGTGCTGTGCGAATGTGAAAATGGGAGGAAAAAAAAAACAAAATGAATGTTGTTAGGCCGTTATCTGTGCAGGTCGAATGTTTATCATTGATTTAAAAAAAGAAAAAATGCTGCATTTGGCCACTAGATGGTGCTAGGTATTGTAGGATAATTTCTATGATTCTTAGCTCCATCTACTGGACAGATGAGGTATTCTCACTTTTAAATCAATGAAGAACATTCGTCCAGCACAGGAAGTAGCCCAATAATTTTTTTTTTTTTTTTTTGCAGCATTCATATAAAATGAATTTTTATGCACTTTCATTGGGTGAATTATTTTTTTTCTTTTTTTTTTAGAAATAAATTGACAGTCATTTTTCCATTTTTTGAATGGGTTTTTGAATGGGTTGCAGCGCCACCTATGGACAGCCCCTGCAGGAGGACAATGGGAATATCTGTGACCCCCTGCGAAATGTGCGGTCACTGACGCAACGATCTCAGGCTGGAACGACGTCACTCTGATGACTGACAATCCCTTTAAAATGTCCCATTTCCCTTGTCACCAGTTGTGACTCTAGTGGGCCACTAGATGGAGCTGTCTATCATATCCTAGGATACCTTGCACCATCTAGTGGGCAAATGTGGTATTATTTTTTTTAAATCAATGAGAAACCTTCGATCAGCACTGGCAAGTAGCCTAATAACATTCTTCTTTTTTTTTTTTTTTTTTGCTTTATTTGCATAGAACAAAAGTACGTTGGGAGATTTGCTATGCAAATGATGAATGCCAAGCACTTCCAGCGTCTCATGATGCCCCTTCGGCGCCCCATTGCCTCCAGGTTGGCGAGACCAAAGCCTCCCAGAGGAAACAATGGACCTGATTCACCCCAAGCAATAAACGCCCCTCCGTCTTCCCATGTGTACTTTGCCCATGCCGGCCGCCCCGGTGCTTTTGGTTGCCGTGGTTACAGCAGATCGGTTTTGCCGCGTCCCCAGCGTTGGGTTCGGTGACTAAGGCTGTATAAATATTTCACGCGCGATCTCCTGGAAACTATTACTATGGCAACTGGCAGCGAACATTGCCAGGAAGTCTGCAAACCAAAGCGAAGTAAGAGAAGAGCGGCGTTCGATTTAAAGGGAACCTGTGCTGGGAAAATTCGACCGCCGCCATTGCTGGGCTCTCCTTTGGGGAAAATGCTAGCTGACTGGCTGCTCCGGAAGCACCAGCAATGTCTGTTACAGAGCCTGTGGTGAGGAGGGAGGAGCTCTCGGGGTCCAGAATAATGCAGTTCCTGAGATAGGATGATTATGTTTATTGAAAGTTTAAATCTATAAATCGATCCAACGCGTTTCGGGGGAATGGCCTCCCCTTCGTCAGGGCTTATGGATGGGCGTGGGCTCCAAAGCGGGTCCTACATTTCTAACCCTGGATTTGCAACCTTGCTGCCTCTGCATCATTGCAACCCGGCATTCAATAAACCTTCATAACCCTATAAAGTCAGGCCAACGCGTTTCGGGCGAATTGCCTCCCCTTCTTCAGGGCTCATGGATGGGAGGGGCTCCAAAGCGGTTCCTCTGTTTTGAACCGTAGATTGGCAGAGTGCTGGGTTGTAATGATGCAGAGGCATCAAGGTTGCCAATCTGTGGTTCAAAATTTAGGATCCGCTGTGGAGCCCCTCCCATCCATAATCCCTGAGGAAGGGGAGGGCAATTCCCCCGAAACGTGTTGGCTTGAGTTATGTTTTATAGGATTATGAAGGTTTATTGAGTGCCGGGTTGCAATGATGCAGAGGCCCCCAAAACGTTTTTGGCTCGATTTTATATGTATATAGGAATTTGAAGATTTATTGAAAGTTTAAATGTAAAAATCGATCCAACGGGTTTCGGGGGAATTGCCCCCCCTCCTTGTCAGGGATTATGGATGGGAGGGGCTCCAAAGCAGTTCTTCTGGTTTGAACCGTACATTGGCAGAGTGCTGGGTTGTAATGATGCAGAGGCATCGAGGTTGCCGGTTTGAAACTTAGGAGCCACTTTACTGCCCCTCCCATCCATAAGCCCTGAAGAAGAGGAGAGCAATTCTCCCGAAACGCGTTGGCTTGAGTTATTTTGTTTTATAGGATTATGAAGGTTTATTGAGTGCCGGGTTGCAATGATGCAGAGGCCCCCAAAATGTTTTGGCTCGATTTTATATGTTTATAGGAATCTGAAGGTCTATTGAAAGTTTAAATGTAAAAATTGATCCAACACGTTTCGGGGAATTGCCTTCCCCCTTGTCAGGGCTTATGGATGGGAGGGGCTCCAAAGCGGTTCCTCTGTTTTGAACCGTACATTGGCAGAGTGACGGGTTGTAATTTTGCAGAGGCATCAAGGTTGCCAATCTATGGTTCAGAATTTAGGAGCCGCTGTGGAGCCCTTCCCATCCATAATCCCCGAAGAAGGGGAGGGCAGTTCCCCCGAAACGTGTTGGCTTGAGTTATATGTTTTATAGGATTATGAAGGTTTATTGAGTGCCGGGTTGCAATGATGCAGAGGCCCCCAAAATGTTTTTGATCGATTTTATAGGAATTTGATGGTTTATAGAAAGTTTAAATGTAAAAATCGATCTACGCGTTTCGGGGGAATTGCCCCCCTCCTTATGGATGGGAGGGGCTTCAAAGCAGTTCCTTTGTTTTGAACTGTAGATTGGCAGAGTGCCGGTTATAATGATGCAGAGGCATCAGGGTTGCCAATCTACAGTTCGAAATTTAGGAGCCACTGTGGAGCCCCTCCCATCCATTTCCCTGAAGAAGGGGGAGGGCAATTACCCCGAAACGCGTTGGTTGATTTATACATGTAAACTTTCAATAAACCTTTGTACTCCTGTAAACATATAAATCGAGCCAACGCAGTGGGACACGATTTTGTGCTGAAGTCATCTGCAGAATGGATGAAGCACTTTGCACTGCAGGTCCTCAGGTACAGCTTCCTCTCCGGCAAGGAGAACAGTGAGCAGCACAGTAGTAGCACTTATGCAGGCCATAGACGGTTTGTTTATGGGCTGAAAAAACGAAACATCAGTCGTTCTGTTGCCACCAATGATTACGAAAATCGGCCATTTTTCGTAAATTTTCCAGCATGACTGATAAAAATGAGGAACCACGAAAATTGGCTGATGACATTGCCCCACTAACTGTGCGAATATCTCCAGATTTTATTCTTTCGGACGAAAATTCAGCCGATAAACGAACCGTCTATGGCCTGCATAAGTCCTCGGTATGGCTTGTGGTCTCCCTACAGCTGGTCCTTTCCCTGTTACCGACCTGCAGTGCCTTGTTGTGTCCTCTGCCTCTGTATTGAGATGACCCTCTTTGTAGAGGTGCAGGGTTTTGCTTCCTCATGGCAGAGCTGCCACCCCAATGACTGGTGGTGGGGTAATGATGAAGCAGGAGAGATGGAGGAAGCACAGTTCTACAGAATGGATGAAGCAAAAGCAGGGAGGTCCTTGCACTGCAGATCCTCAGGTACAGCTTCCTCTCCAGCAAGGAGAACAGTGAGCAGCACAGTAGTAGCATTTAGTCCTCGGTACTGCTTGTGGTCTCCCTACAGCTGGTCCTTTCCCTGTTACCGACCTGCAGTGCCTTGTTGTGTCCTCTGCCTCTGTATTGAGATGATGACCCTCTTTGTAGAGGCGCAGGGTTTTGCTTCCTCATGGCAGAGCTGCCACCCCAATGACTGGTGGGGTAATGATGAAGCAGGAGAGATGGAGGAAGCACAGTTCTACAGAATGGATGAAGCAAAAGCAGGGAGGTCCTTGCACTGCAGATCCTCAGGTACAGCTTCCTCTCCAGCAAGGAGAACAGTGAGCAGCACAGTAGTAGCATTTAGTCCTCGGTACTGCTTGTGGTCTCCCTACAGCTGGTCCTTTCCCTGTTACCGACCTGCAGTGCCTTGTTGTGTCCTCTGCCTCTGTATTGAGATGACCCTCTTTGTAGAGGTGCAGGGTTTTGCTTCCTCATGGCAGAGCTGCCACCCCAATGACTGGTGGGGTAATGATGAAGCAGGAGAGATGGAGGAAGCACAGTTCTACAGAATGGATGAAGCAGAAGCAGGGAGGTCCTTGCACTGCAGATCCTCAGGTACAGCTTCCCCTCCAGCAGGAGAACAGTGATCAGCACAGTAGTGAGCATTTAATCCTCGGAGACTAGCAATGTGAAGGCTAGCAATGCTTCCTTTCCCTTTTAACGCAGACCTGCAGTTCACTTTTTGAGTCCTCAGCCTCTGTATTGAGATGGATTTTTAAAGCTGCGCAGGTTCAAGGGTTTTGCATCACCAGGCAGAGCTTCACCAACCGACTGGTGGGGTAATTTAACCCAGAGCAAGCATGAGATGCCAGGAAGCACAGTTTAAAGCATCCTGAACCTCCCAAAAGCAGGGAGGTCCTTGCACTGCAGATCCTCAAGTAAGCTGGGGGTTCCTCCAGCAAGGAGCAAGTCTGCAATGCAGCAGCCGCCATATTAGCATCAGTCCTCAGGTCGCTTCAAGGAATACATCTGTCCTTTCTTCTGTTTACCGGAATCACGAGTTTTCTTTGTGTTTCTCTTTTTTGGATTTCATTTGTGCAGCTGTTGGCGGCTTCCTCATGGCATCATCCACCCCGATAGATGTGGGGTAATGATGGTGGCGACGGGGCTGGAGGAAGCACAGTTCGGTGAGTAGCGGGATGAAGGGAATGGCAGCGGTCATCTTATCCAGTGCGTTCGATGATCCTCCCCAACGATCAGCATTCCAGGAATTCCTTTAACACAATGTGAAGGGAATGCTTCCAAATTCATTCATAAAAAAACTTTTTGAGTTCATCTGGGAGTTCGTTAAAGCTGCAGTTCAAGGGCTTTCATCACCAGTCTTGGCTTCACTACCGAGGGATTTTTAACCCAGAGCAAGCATGTAGCCAGTGAAATCTTAAAGCATAAATCCCAAACTGCATGCTCTTCGATGGAATGTTAGAGAAATCAGAAGTGAAGATGGGGAACCCAGCAAGTCTGTCAATGGGCCGCCATAAAATCAGGCCAGCATCAAGGGGTGTCTGTATTCTTCTGGGAGGGAGGGGGTGGCTTTATTTCACGACACGTTTTTTTAGGATTTGCATACGTCTCTTTGTGCTGGGGCCTCTTCTCAGCATATGTGCGCCCCGATTACAGGGACGAGCTGGGAAGTAAGTGGTAGCGGGGTGATCATGATCACGTGATCACTGCGCTAGCCATCTTATCCAGCGTTCGCTGATGCTCCTCCCCCCCCATAAGGAAAGATACCACACTTGTAAGTGGAATCCAGTTATTCATTCATAAAAAAAAAAGTAGTGTATCAGGAAAGTACCAATAGACATTCAGTATGGCCACTAGGTGGAGTGGAGGATCATAGCGAATAAGTATGGAACCTCAGTTGCGGTACATCTAGTGGCTATAAGGAGGTGTTTTCAGAACCACTTTTTCTTTTTTTTTCTGAATGAGGGGAGGGGCATTTCTTAAAGGACAACAGAAAGATGGGAACCCAGAAGCCTGTCATCATGGTGTAAAAAGCCAGGGGGGGAGGGGGGGGGCTTTATTTAAAGGACAACCACTAAAGGGAATGGAGCCAGGATCTCTAGTAGACAGGGACTAAGGGTGAGGCAGGGGCATTATTTAAGTGGACAACCCTTAAGGGAGGATAGGAGCCCGGTTCTCAACCAGGAATGAAGGTGGGGGGAGGGGCATTGATCTTGATCAAGGACTAGCCACTAAAGGGAATCGGGTGCGGGAACCTCCCAGTAATGAAAAGGGGGGCCTGGGGGCATTCATTAAAGGAGCTGTACCTAAAGGGGTAGAGCTGGAATCCACCATGAGTATGACCACACCCATGGGAACCAATAGAGTTGAGGGGCCTTTATTAAAGGACAACCAGCTAAAGGACCATGGAGCAAGGATGCTCTGAGGGAGTGAAGGGAGGGGGGGGGAGGGGCATTAATTAAAGGACAACCACTAAAGGGAATGGAGCTGGGATCACTCAGCCAGTGGGGATAGGGGGGGAGGGCATTTATTAAAGGACAACCACTAAAGGGAATGGAGCCAGGATCTAGTAGACAGGGACTGAAGGTTGGGGGAGGGGCATTATTCAAAGACAACCATTAAAAGAGAATAGGAGCCCGGATCTCATAGACAGGAAGTGAAGGTGGGGGAGGGGCATTTATTAAAGGACAACTACTAAAGGGAATAGAGGCGGGCTCTCTGAGCCAGAAATGATGGGTGGGGGAGGGGCATTTATTAAAGGACAACCACTAAAGGGAATGGAGCCAGGTCTCTCAGAGGCAGAGATGAAAAGTGAAAAGTGGGGGAGGGGCATAATTAAAGGACAACCACTAAAGGGAATGGAGCTGGGATCTCCTCAGCCAGTGGGGATAGGAGGGAGGGGCATTTATTAAAGGACAACCACTAAAGGGAATGGAGCCAGGAATGAAGGTTGGGGGAGGGGCATTTATTCAAAGACAACCATTAAAAGGAATGGAGGCGGGATCTCATAGACAGGGGTGAAGTGTGGGGGAGGGGCATTTATTAAAGGACAACTACTAAAGGGAATAGAGGCGGGCTCTCTGAGCCAGAAATGATGGGTGGGGGAGGGGCATTTATTAAAGGACATCCACTAAAGGGAATGGAGCCAGGAATGAAGGTTGGGGGAGGGGCATTTATTCAAAGACAACCATTAAAGGGAATGGTGGGGGGATCTCATAGACAGGGGTGAAGTGTGGGGGAGGGGCACTTATTAAAGGACAACTACTAAAGGGAATGGAGCCGGAATCTCCTCAGCCAGTGGGGATAGGAAGGGGAGGGGCATTTATTAAAGGACAACCACTAAAGGGAATGAAGGGTGGGGGAGGGGCCTTTATTAAAGGACAACCATTAAAGGGCGTAGGGCCGGGATCTCGATGCTGTGAACTAGCGAAGCGCGTGCCGGAAGTGAACACTGACCGCTCCTCTTGTCCCTCCCAGGTGATCGGGCTGCTAACTGGTCTCCTATTCGCGTATGACGCTTACCTGACGTTTCCTACACTGAGGAGGACACACGCACCGGCTGCCACGGGTGAGCTGAGCGACTTCACGTGTCCCGGCATTAATGTGTAACAGAAGTGTCCATCAGGGAAACGCTTTATACCTAATCACGTACAGCGACCGTGACGCCATCATAAAACAAAAAAAAAGTGCCCCCCCTCCCCCATCATATCATTGTATTGTAAAGTATATACTTTGATGTGATTTTGATGCAACTTTGGATAGGTGTGACTTTGATGCCACATTTTTTTTTCTCTCCAAGGCGCGGTTCGCACTGCGGCGACTTGGGATCCAACTTGTGACACCCCCCGAGTCGCATGACATGTGAATTCCCATGTTAGTCAATGAGAGCCGTCTTAAGTCGCTCCGACTTTAGAAAAGGTTCCTGTGCTACTTCCAGGCGACTTCTCTTCCATTTGTGCCCATAGACTTTAATGGAAGTCGCCTCCAAGACGGATCCTCATCCGTACTGATGTGATTTAGATCCGACAGGAAGATTACCCAGGCAAAGTCGCATGGCATGAAAGTTGTGCATCAAATCCCAGGAAGTTGCCTGGCAAACTCGTGCAACTTTCAAGTCGCAGTAGTGTGAACCGAGCCTAACGGGAAAGTATGACAGTTCTGTTCATGTAGTGCGACTTTGATGCGAAGTAGCATCAAAGTTGCGTCCAAGCCGCAACCATCCAAAGTCGCATCAGTCACATCCAAATCACATCCAAATCACACCCATCCGCCAAAAGAAGACATCAACATAGCACCATCTGCACATAGCACCATCTGCTGGCCAAATAGAAGATTCACATGCTAACATTTAAATAGCACCATCTGCTGGCTGAATAGAAGATTCACATGCTAACATACAAATAGCACCATCTGCTGGCCAAATAGAAGATTCACATGCTAACATACAAAGAAATTCACATGCTAACAGCACCATCTGCTGGCCAAATAGAAGATTCACATGCTAACATACAAATAGCACCATCTGCTGGCCAAATAGAAGATTCACATGCTAACATACAAATAGCACCATCTGCTGGCCAAATAGAAGGTTCACATGCTAACATACACATAGCACCATCTGCTGGCCAAATAGAAGATTCACATGCTAACATGCATATAGCACCATCTGCTGGCCAAATGGAAGATTCACATGCTAACATGCATATAGCACCATCTGCTGGCCAAATAGAAGATTCACATGCTAACATACAAATAGCACCTAAATAGAAGATTCACATGCTAACATACAAATAGCACCATCTGCTGGCCAAATAGAAATCACAGCTATGTGTATGTTATTTCATCTTCTATCGGCCAGCAGATGGCGCTATTTAAATGTTAGCATGCAAATCTTCTATTTGGCCAGCAGATGGTGCTAATGTTAGCATGTGAATCTTCTATCAGCAGATGGCTATTTGTATGTTAGCATAGAATCTTCTATTGGCCACATGCTATGTGTATGTTAGTATGTTCATCTTCTATTCGGCCAGCAGATGGCGCTATTTAAATGTTAGCATGCAAATCTTCTATTTGGCCAGCAGATGGTGCTATTGCATGTTAGTATGTGAATCTTCTATTTGGCCAGCAGATGGTGCTATTTGTATGTTAGCATGTGAATCTTCTATTTGGCCAGCAGATGGTGCTGTGTATGTTAGTATGTTCATCTTCTATTCGGCCAGCAGATGGTGCTATTTGGACCACCCACTCCTCCAGACTCCAGGCATTTTGATGATTGCCTAACTCCTCCCTCCTCCCAAGAGCCAGCCCTCTGCTTGGATCAGGACCAAAGGCTCTTCAGAGGAGTACTGAGGCAGGGTGCTGTGATGTTTTCAGGAAGCGACGTACAGCAGCCTGCCAGCCCCTCCCACCAGCCACGATCTGCCTGCATTGCATAGAGAAGCACAGAGACCCAGTGATGACATCATTGGGTGTAAAATAAGTGTAAGGATGTATTTAAAACGTAATCCGAAGCTTAAGAATGTATTTTAGATTTGTTCTGTGACCCCCGTCTGCAAACTCTGGAAGTGGTCTGGTGCAGACTACATCCACAATCTGTTATTAAAGGTGCCACCCCCACAGCATAAGGAGCCAATAAATGCATGTGCTGACAAGGAACACCTTGACAGGAGGAGAGAGCAGAGTCACAAAGAGTTGAGCCCACTGCTGTGCTGCTTCTCCTTTCACTGTCCAGTCACAAGCTGGGGGCTCGTCCGGGATCTCATGGGCCCAGAGGACTAGGGACATCTAGCGGCAGAAAAAGGAGCTGCAGGAGACATCCCTGATTTATTGTATCTTTTAGTGCATGGGGGAATAGAACATCCCCAGTTCTAAATAATTCAATGGAGCGTCTTCCTCTTTAGTAACCTCTACTTTTTTGTTTGCAGAGTCCCCCGATAATATTTAACTCCATGTTCGACCAGCAGGAGGGACCCCAATGTTTCACACAAGCTACATGCCTTTGCCCACCCTGTGCAGCCGTCCCCGGAGAAGAGGAATCGGGCGGCATAGGGAGCGTTGCGCCACAGTGGACGATGTCTGTGTGTACACGTATACATGTGTTCCCTAAGGGCTCATTCACACCACACGGCGCGCATTAATGTGCGCATAAAGAGCAAGTGCACCTATTGGAGTGCTTTTTGTGGTTTTTTTTTTTTTTTTTTTTTCTGTTTACAACTGGTATGTATTCCTTATGCGCTGCAGTACAGCGCTGCACCAAAATGCAACAAATTTTTTTTTTCTTTTTGTAGCTCACGCCATCGCAGCGTGCGAATTGAAGCCATAGGACAGATTGCCTTATGCGCTGGGACAGCGCTCTGCTCCTGGTGTGAACGAGCCAAAAGAGGTGCATTCACAAAAAAAAAAAAAAATCAGCCTGTGAAGCTGCGTGTACATTTGTTCTGTGATAATGGGGGCAAAAACGAATGTTGTCAGGCTATTTCCTCTCCAGGTCAAATGTTCTTCAGGGCGAATGTTATTCATTAAAACACAAAGGTGAATTAGGAAAGTACCACATTATGGCCATTAGATGGAGCCGATGATCACAGTAAATATTTATATTTTATGATCATCACATCCGTCTTGTGCAGGGGGCTCCAAACTTTCTAGGCAAAGGGCCAGTTTATGGACTTCAGGCTTTGTGGGTGGAGGGGGCAGACTATGGCTAGTGGAAGTAGAAAATGCCCCGTAATTGGTTTTAATGAGAGGAAGAAGGCACCATTGATGGTGTCAAGGGGGAGGAATGGTGCCCCATCATTGGTGTCAGTGGGAGGAATAGTGCCCCATCATTGGTGTCAGTGGGAGGAATAGTGCCCTATTATTAGTGTCAGTGGGAGGAATAGTGCCCCATCATTGGTGTCAGTGGGAGGAATAGTGTCCCATCATTGGTGTCAGTGGGAGGAATAGTGTCCCATCATTGGTGTCAGTGGGGGGAATAGTGCCCCATCATTGGTGTCAGTGGGAGGAATAGTGTCCCATCATTGGTGTCAGTGGGGGGAATAGTGCCCCATCATTGGTGTCAGTGGGAGGAATAGTTTCTCATCATTGGTGTCAATGGAAGGCTTAGTGCCTCATCATTGGTAATGTGGGAGGAATAATGTCACTTCATTGGTGTAATTGACACCAACGATGGGACACTATTCCTCTCACTGACACCAATGATGGACACTATTCCTCTCAGTGGGAGGAGTAGTACCCCATCATTGGTGTCAGTGGGAGGAATGGTGCCCCCATCATTGGTGAAAGTGGGAGGAATGGTGCCCCCTTCATTGGTGGCAGTTGATGGAGTAGTGCCCCAAGGGCCACATAAAGACAAGCAAAGAGCCGCATCTGGCCCCCAGGCCGCGCGGTTTAGAGATCACTGACCTAGTGGCATAATGCTACTTACATACTATGAACATCAGTGCCATCTAGGGGCCATCATGCAGTATCATCCTGATTCACTCTACTCTGCATGAATGACGAACGTTCGACCTGGAGAGAAGAAAGCCTAATAACATTTGTGTTTGGCCCATTCGCACAGAACAAACGTATGCGCAGCTTCACAGGACGAACGTTTTTTTGTTTTTAAATTTATATCTATAAAAACACCCCTAAAAGTAGCAGAGGTGAAGGTCTTGGTGTCTGTTGGATGAATGCCGAGGTTTCTGTGCGAGTTTGTCTGCCCGCCATGTGTCCACCATGGGATGACGTTTTAATAAAGTTAGCTTTTTTTTTTAATACGGTTATAACAATCTGATAATAAACATACTGAAGTACTTCTGTGATGTCTGTGATGGATTGGATGGGGGGGGAGGGGGCACATTGACCTGATTGGGGGATGGGGGGGCACATTGATCTGATTGGGGGGACGGGGGGGAACATTGATCTGATGGGGGGGCACATCGATTGACCTGATTGGGGGGAGGGGGGGGCACATTGATGGGAGGGGGTAGCACATCGACCTGGGGGGGGGGGGATGGGAGGGGGTAGCACATCGATCTGATGGGGGGGCACATCGATCTGATTGGGGGGGGGTAGCACATCGATCTGATGGGAGGGGGTAGCACATCGACCTGATGGGAGGGGGGGAGGGGACCTGATGGGGGGGGTAGCACATCGACCTGATGGGAGGGGGTAGCACATCGACCTGATGGGAGGGGGTAGCACATCGACCTGATGGGAGGGGGTAGCACATCGACCTGATGGGAGGGGGTAGCACATCGACCTGATGGGAGGGGGTAGCACATCGACCTGATGGGAGGGGGTAGCACATCGACCTGATGGGGGGGGTAGCACATCGACCTGATGGGGGGGGGTAGCACATCGACCTGATTGGGGGGGGGGGCACATCGACCTGATTGGGGAGGGGGTACATTCGACCTGATGGGAGGGCGAGGGGAGGGGCACAGTGGCCTGATGGGGGGGGGTACATTGACCTGATTGAGGGGAGGGGTTCATCGACTTGATGGGGGGGCACATTGACCTGATTGGGGGAACGGGGGCATATCGACCTGATTAAAGGGAGGGGCACATCGACCTGCTTGGAGGGTAAAACCAGTTATATTTCTATGATTACCTACATAATTTAATCACTATTAATTTACTTTTTTATGATTTTATTTCATATTTTTAACTACTGAAGTCCTTAAATATTTAATATTTTATTACTGTAACCACCATGTAAATGTAGCAGCGACTTCTGCGAAGAGCAGTAGGAGGGACCCAGCAGGCCACACCCACTACAGGCTTCCTGCTCAAAACTACAGTAGGGGGGCGGAGACCAGACCAGACCACTGCTGCTTTCAGTCTTTGCACAGGGTGACAGGTCTTGGATGATCGCTCTGATCTGAAAGGAATACACAAAGCACGCCAAGATTCCAGGATCGAGAATATTTCTTTTAACAAAAAACTCCCATGATCACCTAAAAATGCAATATATATATATATATATATCACATGACCCTATATTGGGCAAACCCCACAGCCTTGTTATATAGTTGTTAGTATATCAGTCAGTCCAGTCCCACAATAAAAAAGGAGGGTCATTATGTCAACTTTGGCATCCCCAGCATCTCTATCGCCAAGGAGGGTCATTATGTAACCTTTGGCATCCCCAGCATCTCCAGCTCCAAGGAGGATCATTATGTAACCTTTGGCATCCCCAGCATCTCCAGCTCCAAGGACGGTCATTATGTAACTTTGGCATCTCCAGCTCCAAGGACGGTCATTATGTAACCTTTGGCATCTCCAGCTCCAAGGACGGACATTATGTAACCTTTGGCATCCCCAGCATCTTTAGCACCAATTATGGTCATTATGTCAACTTTGGCATCCCTAGCACCAGGGAGGGTCATTATGTCAACTTTGACATCCCCAGCATCTCTATCGCCAAGGAGGGTCATTATGTAACCTTTGGCATCCCCAGCTCCACGGAGGGTCATTATGTAACCTTTGGCATCCCCAGCCCTAGCATCTAACCTTTGGCATCTCTCCAAGGAGGTCATTATGTAACCTTTGGCATCTCCAGCTCCAAGGAGGGTCATTATGTAACCTTTGGCATCCCCAGCATCTTTAGCACCAATTATGGTCCATTATATGTCAACTTTGGCATCCCAGCTCCACGGAGGGACATTATGTCCCCTTTGGCATCCCCAGCATCTTTAGCACCAATATGGTCATTATGTCAACTTTGGCATCCCTAGCACCAGGGAGGGTCATTATGTAACTTTTGCATCCCCAGCATCTCTATCGCCAAGGAGGGTCATTATGTAACCTTTGGCATCCCAGCTCCAAGGAGGGTCATTATGTAACCTTTGGCATCCCCAGCATCTCTAGCTCCAAGGAGGGTCATTATGTAACCTTTGGCATCCCCAGCATCTCTAGCACCAATTAGGGTCATTATGTCAACTTTGGCATCCCCAGCATCTCTATCGCCAAGGAGGGTCATTATGTAACCTTTGGCATATTTTGGAATTTGTGGACTTGGCCCCGGGCCCTACAAAGGGTGGGATCCCCGATCTGGAGGACGAACTGCCGTCTAGTCCAAGACATCCCAGCATGAAGAGGAAGGCAGCGCTCCGAAACGTACCTCACAAATGTTGATGAGGTCATAAAAGTAAGCCGATCACACCGACATTCCGGGGCCACGGTGGCCCCCTGATCCTACAGTTCACTTGTCACCTTGACAAAGGGGTCTGTCGTGGCCCTGAAACGGTGTGCTCTGCTCGGTGTGGTGCGTGTGGTACAACCCCCAAAAAGGACAATGTATCATTTCCTAAAAATTCTTTTTTTTTTTTAATAAACAATAGAAAGATGTACGAGTCACACTTTGTGCAACATCAGAGCGGCTCAGCTTCACCGAGGAAATGGCAAATGTAGACCCTCCAGCTTCAAAGGCCTTCTGACCCAACAAGGACCTCTGGAGGGTTTTTCAAGTCCACCCAAGTCTGTTCAAAATCCGGTATATGAGTTCATTCCGAGGCACATGCATAGTATTTCCGAAGGAGATGGACATAGGTACACTTCCTGGTAGGTGAGTGTGCCTAGGCACTTCTGGTCATTTGCCTCATAGGTGTACTTCCTGGTAGGTGAGTGTGCCTAGCACTTCTGGTCATTTGCCTCATAGGTGTACTTCCTGGTAGGTGAGTGTGCCTAGGCACTTCTATTCGTTTGCCTCATCGGAGAAATAGGTGCACAGGGCGGCCCAGTGACGTATTACTCCAGCATGGAGGGGAGAATTGATAAAACCATTGCCTGGAAGGTGTGGTTGGGGGACCCTCTACCTCTACCTGATACCTCCTACTAATGGGACCTCACAGAGTCATAAGAACCTGGTGCATGCTACCTCTACCCAGGGGTGGACTGACCGAGCACTCGGGCACTGCCCGAGAGGCCCGGGATCAGTAGTGGGCCCATGAAATACCCTTG